AAGTAAAATCTTGCTGAAGATAATTCAAAAATGGTTGCAGCAGTATATTGACAGAGAACTTCCAGAAATGCAAGCTGGATTCAGAAGAGGACGTGGAATGAGGAATATCATCGCTGATGTCAGATGGGTCTTGGCTGAAAGCAAAGAATACCAGAAAGATGTTTACTTGTGTTTTATTGACTATGCAAAGGCATTTGACTGGTGGATCATGGCAAATTATGAATAACATTGAGAAGAATGGGAATTCCAGAACACTTAATTGTGCTCATGCAGAACCTATCAGGAGGTTCAAGACCAGGAGACTGTCATTCGAACAGAACAAGAGAACACTGCATGGTTTAAGTCAGGAAAGGTGTGCATCAGAGTTGTATCCTATCACCATACTTATTCAATCTGTATGCTGAGCAAATAATCTGAGAAGTTGGACTATATGAAGAAGAACGTGGCATCAGGATTGGAGGAAGACTCATTAACAATGGGCTATACGGAGATGACACAACTTTGCTTGCTGAAAGTGAGGTTGACTTGAAGTATTTACTGATGAGGATCAGACTACAGCTTTCAGTATGGATTCCACCTCAACATAAAGAAAACAATAATTTTCACAAGTAGGCCAATAAGCAACATCATGATAAACAGAGAAAAGTCTGAAGTTGTCAAGCAAGGATTTCATTTTACTTGGATCTACAATCAATGTCCATGGGAGCAGGAGTCAAGAAAGCAGTATTATGGCACTGGGCAAATCTGGTGCAAAAGACCTCTTTAAAATGTTAAAAAGTAAAGATGTCACTTTGAGGACTAAGGTGAGCCTGTCCCAACCCAGCTCTCACATATGAGGCAGTATTTTCAACTGCCTCATATGCATGGGAGAGCTGGACAGTGAATAAGGAAGTCTGAAGAACAGCTGCATTTGAACTATGGTGTTGGTGAAGAATACTGAATAGACCCAGCCTGCCAGAAGAATGAGCAAATCTGTCTCAGAAGAATGATAGGCAGATGCTCCTTAGGAGGGAGATGGCAAGACTTTTGTCTCTCATGCTTTGGACATGTTATTGGGAGGGACCATTCCCTGGAGAAGGACAACATGCTTGGTAAAGTAGGGGGTCAGTGAAAAAGAGGAAGACGTCAACGAGCTGGAGTGACATAGTGGCTGAAGGATGGGCTCAAGCAGAGCAAGGACTGTGAGCATGGTGCTTTCTGTTGTGCATAAAACCAAACCAAAACCAAACTCACTGCCGTGGAGTCGGAGTCGACTCACACTGACCCCTCCTTGGGTTTCCAAGTCGGTAGCTCTACGAAAGGAGATTGCTCAACCTTCCTTATGAGGAGTGGCTGGTGGGTTTGAACCACCAGCCTTCTGGTTAGCAGTCAAGTGCGTTAGGCACTACGCCACCAGAACACTGAATTGGAACTGGCTTGACAGCACCTAGAAACAGTTCTTAGTGAGCAGATCGCCAGATCGTTCTGCCACATACCTGCTGATGGGTTCCAACCGCTGACCTTTAGGTTAGCAGCTGAGCGCTTAACCGTTGCACCACCAGGGCTCCTCCATTAAATAAGATTCAACACTTAAGTGTTGACTGAATGAACAAAGAGGGTATTTTCCGGAGCTTTTCAGCGCTTTAGAGGTAGAAAGCCTCTTTTGAATACGCTCTTACGAAAGAGCCCACACAGGCAGAAAGAGGCGGGAATGGCGGCTGGGCGCCATCAAGCCGCGCGGCCTCGGTCGTGGCCCCGCCCAGCCCGCGGAGCCCCGCCCACCTGCTCTGCTTTCAGGGTGAGCTCGATGAAAATCTGCTGCAGCTTCTCGTTGACGAAGTTGATGCAAAACTGCTCGAAGCCGTTTTTCTGCCGAGGGAAGGCGTAGGTGCCTCGGTCAGTGGGCTGATGCCCGGGGCCCCGTGACCCGAGGGTGGGGGTCGCGCAGGGAGGTCGGCGAGTGGGCGGGGGCAGAGGCCGTACCTGGAAGATCTCGAAGCCGTAGATGTCCAGCACGCCGATGCTGTATTCCTCCTGCGGCTTCTGCATGGCGCGGTTAATGGCCTGCGGCGCGGGTGGGACAGTGGGCGCCCGGTCAGCCCGGTACCTAGCCTGCCGCCCTCCCCGTAGGCCCTCAGCCCCCCTCACGGGCTCTGGCCGTTCACACCAATTTCTCTCCTGCCTTTCTCAGCTCTGTGCCTGCTGTTGTGTGGGTCCATTCCTATTCATGGTGACCCTACGTGACAGGGTAGAACTGCCCCGTAGGATTTTCAATAGCTCTAATCTTCACAGACGCAGACTGCCTCATCTTTCTCCTGTGGAGCAGCTGGTGCGTTCGAACTCCTGACCTTTTGGTTAGCAGCCAAGCACTGTAACTACTGAGCCATCAGGGCTTGTGTGTGTGTGTGTGTGTGTGTGTGTACTTTTGTTTTGTTTTGATGCTGCATGTGTACATATATGCATGTTGGTTTTGGGTGCCATCAAGTCAATTCCGACTCAGTGACCACCATGTGTAACAGGACAGAACTGCCCCTATCGAGTTTTGTTGGCTCTAATCTTTACGCGAGGAGCTTTGGTAGCGCAGTGATCAAAGCATTCGGCTGCTAACCAAAAGGTTGCTGGTTCGAACCCACCAGCCACTCTGCAGGAGAAAGATGAGGCAGTCTGCTTCCGTAAAGATTACAGCGTTGGAAACCCTATGGGGGCAGTTTTACTCTGTCCTCTAGGGGCGCTGTGAGTTGGAATTGACTCGGTGGCAGTGGGTTTTTTGGGAGCTGGTCGCCAGGCCTGTGGAACTGCTGGGTGGGTTCAAACTGCCAGAATTTTGGTTAGCAGCCATCAGGACGTTTTGCTCTGTGCATACACCCCCTGTAATGGGCTGCACTGTATCCCCCCAAAAGATATATTGGAGTTCTAACACTATCCCTGTGAATGTGATCTTGTTCGGAAACAGGGTCTTTGAAGTTGTTATATCAGTTACATCAACAGGAGGTCATACTGAAGTCGGGTGGGTCCTAATCCCGTATGAACGGTGTCCTTATAAGAAGAGAAGGCACAGAGACAGACAGACACAGAGGGAAGGTGGACACTGGAAGATGGAGGCAGAGATGGAGTGATGTAGCAGCTGCAAGTTCAGGACTGCCTGGGGCCACCAGAAGCTGGAAAAGATGAGGAGGGACCCCCAGAGCCTTTGGAGACGGCATTGCTGTGCTGACACCCTGCATTCAGACTTCAGGTCTCCTGAACATTTCTGTTGTTGTAAACAACATAGTTGTGGTTGTTTCAGCCATAGGAAACTCATACCTCCCCACCATCAGTCATCCACACCAGAAACTCAACTGTTAGAATATCTGGAAGCTGGCTCTGCCACTGCTTGCTGTGTGACCTCAAGCAAGTCACTTAACCCGTCTGTGCTTCTGTTTTCTCATCTTTAAAATGGGTTAATGCTAGCAACTACCTTGGGAGCTCTGGTAGCATAGTGCCTAAGGCACTTGACTGCTAACCAGAAGGCTGGCGGTTCATACCCACCAGCCACTCCTCGGAAGGAAGATGGGGCAATCTACTTCTGTAGTGATACTGCCTTGGAAACCCAAGAGGGGTCGCTATGAGTCGGGTCTGACCTGACAGCACATAACAACAACAGGCAACTACCTTATAGTTTTTTGGAGGGTTAAATGAATTGAGACAAGCAAAATACTTAGAACAGTGCCTGGCACACGCTAAGTGCTCTATAAATATTTACTACAGTTAATGATATTCCTCTTGACCTTGACATCTCTGTTCCAATCCACCCCCATCCAGTCCATCACTTTGGCCCCTTGACAGCCCTCCTCAGTGCTCTCAAATGCACCTGACTGTCTCCATCCCCACAGCCCCCAGTTGCTCCAGCAGCCCCCCTTTCTGGGGAGCCTCAACACTTCTGTCTGGTCACCACCCACCCCAGCTCAAAGTCCCCATGGCCAGGAATTATCGAAAGTATGACAGTCAAGTATCAAAGATGTCACTTCGAGGACTAAGGGGCGCCTGACCCATGCCATGGTCTTTTCAGTTGCCTCCTGTGCATGCGAAAGCTGGTCAACGAGTAGGGAAGATCAAAGAAGAATTGACACCTTTGAATCATCGTGCTGGTAAAGAGTTAAATACGCCATGGACTGCCAGAGGATGAACAAATCTGTCTCGGAGGAAGTGCAGCCAGAATGCTCCTTAGAAGCGAGAACGGCTAGACGTCATCTCACATACTTTAGCCATGTTGTGAGAAGGGCCCCGTTCCTGGAGAAGAGTATCATTCTTGGTAAAGTAGAGGGTCAGCAAAAAAGGGGAAGACCCTCAATGAGATGGACTGACCCAGTGGCTGTGATAATGGGCTTGAGCGTAGCAGAGACTGAGGATGGCGCAGGACTGGGTAGTGTTTCCTTCTGTTGTACGCAGGGTCACTATGAGTCAGAACCGACTCAATGGCATTGAACAACAACATCATGACCGTCAGGCCTGCCTCCCTGTGGAGCTGTGTTTCGGTCCCAGCTCATGACCTGCACGCACCTGGGACATGCCATAAATGTTAGTGTTATGGATTGAATTGTGTTCTCTCCAAAGTTATGTTGAAGTCCTAACCTGTGAACGTGACGCAGTTTGGGAATGTTGTTGTTGTTAGGTGCCGTCAAGTTGTTTCCGACTCATAGCGACCTCATGCACAGCAGAATGAAACACTGCCCAGTCCTGTGCCAGCCTTATAATCCTTCCTATACCGAGCCCATCGTTGCAGCCACTGTGTCAATCCATCTCGTTGAGGGCTTTCCCCTTTTTCGTTGACCCTCCACTTTACCAGGCATGATATCCTTCTCCAGGGGAATGGTCCCTCCTTATATGACCAAAGTAGGTGAGACGAAGTCTGGGAATAGAGGGTTTCTTTTGTTATGGTTGATGAGGTCATACTGCAGTAGGGTGGGGGCTAACCCTAAACCCTCCGAGAGGTGTCTTATCAAAAGAATAGAATAGACACAGAGACACATGCAGAGGCAGAGAAATATATGAAGATGCCAAGGAACGCCAAGGAGCCAGGGAACACGGAAGGCTGCCAACAAGGAGGGACCCTTCCCTAGAGCCGATGCTCTCATGCGGACATGTAGCCTCCAGGACCGTGAGACAATGAAGTCTGTCCTTTAAAGCCACATTTGTAAGTGTTTTATTAAGGCAGCTACTAGGAACTAAGACAGGAGCTCTGACGGTGTAGTGGTTAAGGCATTTGGCCGCTAACCAAAAAATTGGGAGTTCAACCCACCAGCCGCTCGGCGGAGGAAAGATGAAGCAGCCTGTTTGTATAGATTTATAGCCTTGGAAACCCAGTGGAGGTGTCCATGAGTCAGAATCTACCCAATGCAGCAGGTGAGTTTGGTTTGAGGAACTGAAAATGTCTGTCTGGAAGCTCCGCCCCGCCGCCGCCCCCTGCCCCGCCCTACCCCGCCCACTCGCCTCCACGAGGAAGTCGAAGAGGCGCGCGTATAGCCCCTTGGCCAGGGCGTCGCGGGTGTAGGCGGCCTGCTCCACGTTGAGGGTCACGTCGATAGACTCGCTGCGCCCACCCCAGCGGCTGTCCATCTTGCGGCTGGTCAGCTTTTCCTGCAGCCGCCCGCTGTCGATGCCCAGCAGGTAGGCGGGAAAAGCCAGGACTGCCGGCAGGGGCGTACAGCCTGTCAGGCACTGGGGCTATGTGTAAGGGCTGCCCTCTTCCCCTTCCCCCAACTTGTCCAGGGACTCAGACGTTGCCCTTTTGGATTCTGGCCCTCCAGATGCCGGGCTAGGAGGGACCAGTTCTCACTCACACACACACACACACACACACACAGAGTCACACATGCACAGTAGGCTCATGTATAGCCACACAAACATGTATGTACACATACATACAAAATACACCTACTCACAGACATACATACACATGCACATAGACTCGTGCACACACACAACACACACATGCACGTATGTACTTACACATGCACAGACTTATGTACACATAAACTCATACACATACGCTCACACATGTACACATACATAGAAATGCACAGACTTGAACACACACACATACACTGCACATAGAGACACATGCACACATCCTTACAAATGTGCCTTCATCTTGACACACACAGCCACCAGTCTCTCCATGCACAAGCCCCCCACTCTGGACCCTCCCCACAACCTGTACTTCTCATAGACCGCCCACGATGTTCCCACATGTTCCCCAGTTTTCACGTGCTCACCTCCGTCCTCAACAGCACCCCTACCCTCCTCCACACCCCCTCCCTCCAGCTCCTGCACTCACGGTCCACACTCTCCACGCGGGCGTAGTTCCCATCTTCGCAGAAGCTGATGTTCCCCAGGTGCAGGATCCCAGCCACCAGCTGCAGGACCAGCTGCTGGATGTTGGGCGGAATCCCGATGACCTGCATGGCGCTCTGTGGGCAAACAAGGCAGAACCTGGGCCGCCAGTGCCGACCTTCCCTGGGCCCGCCTTGCCTCTTTCGCCCACGTGCTGTGTGACCAGCCCCTGCCCTTCTCTAGGACTCAGTTTCCTGACTTGTGGACTCATTGGGCTGGGGCAGATGGTCCTCACCAGCGTCTCACTGAAGTCGCTCCTGTCATCGGTGCCATCCACCTTGTAGGTGTCCGATTGGTTGAGGTAGTAATAGTAGTCAGGGGTCATGAGCCCCAGGTTCTGCCGCTGCTCCTGGGAGGCCCCTTCCAGCAGCTGGGAGATTGTGATGGTCACGCACCTCCCAGACACTAACCCTCCCATTGCATGCCCCTGTTTAGGGCACCCTTGGCTCCAGCCTCACACCCCCTTCCCTGCACCTGGTAGTAGATGTGGAAGTTCCTCTCATTTTCGTTCTGCGAGACCACGCGGGACTTCTCCAGTAGGAAGTTGGAGATCTTGCCCCCATCAGGCTCTCCGCCACGGCTGAACTGAATCTCAAAGTACTTGCCCTGAGCCCGAAAGAGCCACGTTAGCCCATGAGGGTCCCAGGGGACAGGGAGGGGAGTGGCACTGTGTTACGAGGCTGGCCTCTCTTCTCCTCTCCCCCATATGACCTCAACTCGCTTCTAAATCTTCATCTATCGCTGATTGATTGGGACACAGGGCAGTGGTAGTTCAGTGGTTGAATTGTTGCCTTTCACGCAGAAAACCTGGGTTCAATTCCCGGCCAGTGCACCATGCATAGTGACCACCCGTTTATCAGTGGAGGCTTCTGTGTTGCTATGATATTGAAGTTTCAGCAGAGCTGCCAGACTAAGATGGACTGGGAAGAAAGGCCTGTTGTGTTGTTGTTGTTATGTGCCATCGAGTTGGACCCAACTCATAGCCACCCCTCGTTGGGTTTCTGAGGCAGTATCACTAGGGAAGTAGATTGCCCAACCTTCCTTCCGAGGAGTGGCTGGTGGGTTTGAACTGCCAGCCTTCTGGTTAGCAGTCAAGTGCCTTAGGCCCTATGCTACCAGAGCTCCTGAAGAAAGTCCTGATGATTTAAATTGGGTCTGAAATGTGCAACTAGGAACAGCTGGGACATGGGAGTGTTTAAGGGGATTGTTTATGGGTGTTATGCAGAAGTGTCATGGCCTCCACATTTTTGCCAATAAACCCAAACCAAACTCATTACCATCAAGTGGATTCTGCCTCAGGCAATTCTGCAGGGCAGAGTAGAACTGCCCCATAGGGTTTTCAAGGCTGTAATTTTTACTAAAGCAGATTGCAGCGTCTTTCCGCCACAGAGCCACTGGGGGGTTTGAACTGTCATCCTTTTGGTTAGCAGCCAAGTTCTTAACCACTGTGACATCAGGCCTCCTTTCTGCCAACGTTGTTGCTATTGTTGTTGGGTGCCATTGAGTTGGCTCCGACTCATGGCGACCCTGCATACAACAAAACAAAACACTGGCCAATTGTTTGAGAAGTGGATGGCCACTTCTTCCAAGTCTCTTAGTCTGGAATTTGTGCTGAAACCTGTCCACCATGGGTGACCCTGCAGATATTTGAAATACTGGTGGCATAACCTTCAGCCTCACAGCAAAATGCAAGCTACCACAGTACCACAAATTGACAGACGAGTGGTGGTTTCTGCCAATAGGGGACCCTTTTTCACATGGACCATAGGCAGGAAGTGAGTCTCCCAGCTAGGAGCAGGTGTTTCCTGCTAGATTTCCAGTGGTGCTCTTGTCCTGGGAATGTAGGGGCACGTTTGTGTATGTGTTCAGGAGGGGAGTGAAGGTCAGGGTGGAGAGAGCGGCTGCTCCAAGAGACTCACAAAGCGACTGGAGTTGTTGTTGCGTACGGTCTTGGAGTTGCCGAAGGCCTCCAGTAGTGGGTTGGACTGCAGGATGATATCCTTGACATGCTGGTGGGTAGGGACAGGAAGGGGGGAAAAAGTCAGACTGGGGCAGGTGGCTGGAAAGTGAACTACCCTGGAGAGGGGAGACCCAGCCCGTCCTTCCATCCTTCCTGCTTCACCTGGACCTTCTCACCCCCTCCGGACACTTTGGAGATGTAGCCCATGATGTATTTGGCCGCCACCGTCTTCCCAGCTCCACTCTCTCCGCTGGGGGTGGGGTGGGAGAAGGAGTGATCAGAGAGTGGGAAGAGGGAGGGACAGGGCCACATTCCTGTCTTGTTATTCATTCATTCATTCAATGCCTCCTGTGTGCCAGGCACCCTTTCAGCTGGAGATATAGTCATGAATAAGACAGATCAAAACCCCTGCCTGTAAGGAGCTGACAATTAGGAGGACAGACAGTGAAAACCAGTTGTCATTGAGTCAGTTCTGACTCATGGTGACCCCACGTGTGTCAGAGTAGAACTGGGTTCCACAGGGTTTTCAGTGGCTGAGATTTTGGAACTAGGTCACCAGGCCTTTCTTCCAAGGTGCTTCTGGGTGGACTTGAACTGCCAACGCTTTGGTTAGCAGCTGAGTAGTTAAATGTTTGCACCAACCAGGAACTTCCCTCAGAGAAAATAAGAAGAAATATCATGGGTCAGATGGTGTTGTGATATGAGTTCCTTTATGTGGTGAGCTTTTTCTTGGTTCTTTGGAAAAATAGCTCAAGAAAATTTTCAGCTAAGCCCTGAGGAGTTACTTTTGCCCTAGTTTTCTACCCCAAAAGGTCTGTTACTTTTGCCAGTTTGATTGACAGTTCTTGGGTAAGCTGTAAACTTGGTTTGATACTGTTTGTCAGCAACCTACATGTGATTGGTATGCACCTTGTAGGGAATGGTCAACAGACTATGCAAATGAGGTGAACTGCAGCCCAGACAGCCTGCCATGCAAATGAAGTATCTGTGGCGTACTGAGAGGGGATTGGTCAGTTCATAGCCGTGGTGGGAGTGCCATGGCTTGAAATTGACAAAGTTTGTGTTTTAAGCAGCTAGCTCCACAGAGGTTCAGCATTGAGAGTTGCAGCAAGAGAAGCAATAGGAAGAAGCAGAAAGAAGCAGAGAGAGAGAGAGAGAGAAAGCAAGGAATCTCCTAAAAGAGTTGTCACATCGGTCAAGGGCTGCAACACTTAAGGCAGTGAGAGGCCCGGAAAGGGCCCAGCAATGGAGCGAGCAGTGGCAGACAGCACACAAATGGGAACTGAGACAGCTGCTGAACAGTGAAGAAGGGAGACTGCCTGCTTGCTTCCTGATCCTGATTCCTGAGCTGTCGCCTGTTGATCCTGATCCTGGGTTGTACCCTATACTTAATAAACCACTTAACTATCACTGTGGTCTGTGAGTTCTGCGTAAGCCATTGGAATGGGTTTACCAAACCCCAAAGAGAAGTAGAGAGTGCTGTGGGAGGGACACCCGGTGTCAGAATTGGTAAAAAGTGTGGAGAATGGAGGTGTGTCTGATGTCCATCTCATGGACATCAGTTTTGTGCTGACGATGATTCTCACAACCCCCCCCCCACGAAGTTAGACACATTCTGACCCTATTACTATTACTACTAGTTCCATTTTACAGATGGTGACAAGGAGAGTTAAACAGGGATGAGGCAGAGAGGCATGGCAAGGCTCTGTTCAAATCAGGAACTAGGGAAAGAAATGAGATGGGAAAGGGGGATTCTGGGAAGGTTCTGGTAAGGAGCAGGGTGAAAGCTTCCCGAGGATGGAGAAGACCACGGCAGAGCATGTGGGGTTCTGGGCAGGTGATGATGTTTGGGTGGGGCCTGGGCAGGAGAGCCCCTGGTACCTGATGATGACGCATTGGTTCTCACAGTCGATGAGCATGTTGCGATACATGTTGTCTGTGAGGGCGTAGATGTGTGGCGGATTCTCGTACTGGGCCTGGCGGGAGAGGGCAGTCCTCAGCCCAGGGCTGGGGGCTGGGGGTTCCAGTGCCGTGCCCCCGACCTGGCCCAGGACTCACCGCACCCTGGTAGAGGTCAATTTCACGGTCAGTGAAGTAGGGCATCTGCTTGAAGGGATTCACGGAGATGAGTACGGAGCCAATGTAGGTCTGGGGGTGCAGTTAAGGGTCAGGTGATGTCTGGGCAGAATTTGTCCTTCAGGAGCCCCAAACCCCTCATCCTGCTCCCTCTGAGCCTCTCAGAGCTCCACTGCTCACGGGAAGAAATGAACATACTCAGATGTGCCCTGGTCTCTTAGGAAGAAAACAGGGCTGGGGCTGAGTAGGGGAAATAGAGATAAGCTGGGTCACAGCCACCCCTAACAAAAGCCCTGCTGTCACTCCACGGTCTCCTGTCCTACTGTCTGCAACTCCCAATGTCCATCCCTATCATCCCTCAATCTCTCCGTCTGTGATTTAAGCATCCTGTGCCCCTTCCTCCTTCTCTGCCAGCCTTCTTTCTCCATCGACGTCATCTCTCCATCCATCTATGTCATCCCTCCATCCATCGACATCAACCCTTCATCCATCCACGTCATTCCTCATTCATCCACATCATCCCTCATCCTTCCACATCATCCCTTCATCCTTCTACGTCATCCCTCATCCTTCTACGTCATCCCTTCATGCGTCCACATCACCCCTCATCCTTCCACACGTCATCTCTCCATCCATCCTGTCTTCCCTCATCCATTTACATGTCATCCCTCCATCCATCCACATCATCCCTCATCCTTCCACGCCATCCCTCATCCTTCTACATCATCCCTTCATCCATCCACATCATTCCTCATTCATCCACATCATCCCTCATCCTTCCGTGCCATCCCTCATCCTTCTACATCATCCCTCCCTCCATCCACATCATCCCTCATCCTTCCACACATCATCTCTCCATCCATCCTGCCTTCCCTCTTCCATTTACATGTCATCCCTCCATTCATGCCCATATCATCCCTCATCCACACATCATCCCTTCATCCGTCAATAGGTCATCCCCCATCATCCCTTCATCCCTCATCCACCCACACGTCTTTCCTCCATCCATCCACATGCTAACCCTCCATTCATGATCAGTCACCCTCCCATCCCTCTTTTCTCCAACTGCCTGTCCCTCCACCCCTGCCTGCCCGCAGCCAAGGGTGCAAAGATGTAGTCGTCCATGAAGCGCTTGCGCAGGTTGCCCACGATGGCGTCTTCAGTGATCTGGGGGAGCAGCACCATGTCGTCCACGCCACTCTGCTTCACATTGTGGCTCTGCCAGTGGAACCGCTCCTTGCTGCCCTGTGAGTGGGGGCCGTGGGGTGAGGTGAGCCCTTGCCATCACCTGACATGCCTCCTTCACCTGCTTCTCATTCTGTCCCTGCTCATCTGCACCACCACCCACCTCCCCACCGTCCCCATCTCAGAGACACCAGGCAGCAAGGGTTGGACTGAGTCCCCTCAAAAGATATGTTTCAGTGCTAACCCCCAGTCCTTGGGAATGTGACCTAACCCCCAGTCCTTGGGAATGTGACCTAACCCCCAGTCCTTAACGAACGTAACCTCACCCCAGTTCTTGTGAATGACCGTGACCTCACCCCAGTCCTTGTGACATGACCTTATGTGGAACTGTCATTTCCTTTGTCGAGTTGATTCTGACTCATGGCGACCCCGTGTACGTCAGAGTAGAACTGTGCTCCACAGGGTTCGTACTGGCTGTTTTTTAATTTTTTTTTTAAACTATATTGCCAGACCTTTCTTCTGAGGTGCCTCTGGGTGAACTTGAACACCAAGCTTTCAGTTAGCAGCTGAGCACGTTCACTGATTGCACCCCAGGGACTGCCCACCAAGGCACCAGGAGAGGGAGGTGAGGTGGAGTGCTGGCTACCTGCCCTTGCGGAGAGACCAGACAGGGAGACAGTCCGAGCCGTCGTCCTTTTGCTTCCTCTTTGGTCCCTCTGTCACCTCACCTCTCCACTCAGTAACCCCTGCCACGGAAGGCACAGTGAGGCCAGGCCTCCCCGGGCTGAATGTGGGTGAGTTTTGGGCAAGTTAGGGGAGGGAAAAGGAGCCCTGGTGTGGGCAAGAGATGAGGCAGTCTGCTTCCGTAAAGATGACAGCCTTGGAAAGCTTATGGAGCAGTTCTAGTCTGTCACATGGGGTCGCTATGAGTCAGAATTGACTCAATCCAAATGGTTTTGCTTTTTTTGTGAGGCTGTATGGAGGAGCCAGCCCTCCCTGGTTCTCACTTCCCTCTAGGCTTCTCTGCCTCTCACTTCCCCAGCTCCCCTGCCCCTGCCTAGGTCCTGGTGGAGTGCTGACATCTCTGTGGCCTTTGATCTGGGCTCACCCTTCCACCTACGAGCAACCTCCTTTCTCCCATTCCCTCCTCCATCCTCATGGTCATGCAACCCATCTGTCCCTCTCAGTCCGGGCCACCACGTGTCTGTGACTCTGCTCCTCAGCTTCACCCCAACACCCGGCCCAGTCTCCCTGCTCCTCCCCAGCTCCGTACCTTCCCCGGCTCCCTCTTTTCCATCTCATTTCCTTCCCTATTTCTCTCTCTCTCTTTTTTAATTTTACTGTTAGTTGCTCTCTGGTTAACTCTGACTCATGGTGAGCCCGTGTGTGTCAGAGGTGAACTGTGTTCCACAGGGTTTTCACTGTCTGTGACCTTTAGGAGGAGCTCTGGTGGCATACTGCCTAGGGCACTTGCCTCCTACCCAGAAGGCTGGCGGTTCAAACCCACCAGCCACTCCCCAGAAGAAAGGATGGGCAATCTACTTCTGTAGAGACACCACCTCAGAAACCCAAGGAGGGGTCGCTATGAGTCGGGTCTGACTCGACGGCAGTGCATTTGGTTTTCTTTTTTTGGTGACCTTTAGGAAGGAGATCACCAGGCCTTTCCTTGGAGGTGCTTTGGGTGGCTCTCAACAACTACCTATCAGCTACCAGTTCAGTACTTATCTGTTTCCGCTACCTAGGGACTCCTTTCATTGTGGTAAATGTATACATATAACAAAACATTTGCCAATTCAGATTTTTTATGTGTACAGTCCAGTCCCATCGATGACGTTCAGCATGTTCTGCAGCCGTCACTACTGCCGTCTCCAAATTATCCACCACCACAAACAGACGCTCAGTGCCCCCTAAGCAATGACTCCCCTTTTCCCCTGGCTACCCCCTGGGCCCCTGGGTGCTGCAAACAGTTAACATGCTAGGCTGTGAACCAAAAGGCTGATGGTTTGAATCCACCCAGAACTGCCTTGAAAGGAAGCCCTGGAAATCTATTCCCCAAAACTCAGCCACTGAAAACCCTACAGAGCACATGACACATGTGGGGTCACAGTGAATTGGGGTTGACTCCAAAACAACTGGTGCCACCTCTGGTAACCACTAGAAAATTTTGGTCCATTTTTCCCTAGTTACTAGTCAATATCTTCCTTAGGAAGAGGAGAAACTGGCATTGACTCCCCTACCCCATCCTCCAGGAAGCCTGCCTGGATTGTTCTCTCCCCTTCAGCTCCACCGAACTCGTCCAGTTCCTTACGCACGCTGGCTCACTTAGGCACACTCTGCCCTCATTTAGTTCACCCTGTCAGGGAGGAGTTAGGACACATGTCCCTCCTCCAGGAAGCCCCCTGTGATGGCTCACTTTATGTGATGGGTAGGCCCTAGTGCCAGTTTTTTGGCCAAATTCTAGTCTAGTTGTTTATGGGAAGTAGTTTGAAAAATCCAGTCAAACCAGTCGCTGTCCAGTTGATTGCATCTCATGGTGACTGACTCCATGGGTGTCAGAGTAGAAGTGAGCTCTGTAGGGTTTCCAATGGCTGATTTTTTGGAAGTAGATTGCCAGGCCTTTCTTCTGAGGAGCCTCTGGGTGGCTTCAAACTGTCAGCCTTTCAGTTAGTAGCCAAGTGCCTAAGTGCTTGCATCACCCAGGGACCTGTATGACGTAGTTACATGTGATTAAATCAGTAAAGCAGCTCACTCTCCATAATGTGGGTGGGCCTTGACCAATCAGTTGGAGTCTCAAGAGTAAAAAGGGAGTTTCCCTGGGTGTGTTCGGCCCCGGACTATAAGTAACCACTTTGCCAGGACTTTCTCATTCTTCACAATTTCCATTGCCTAGCCTGTGGATTTGGGGAAGCAAGCCTGACCCATAAATTTTGGACGTGCCAGCACCGCATCATCATGTGAAATAATTATTTAAGGAGCTCTGGTAGCATAGTGCCTAAGGCACTTGACTGCTAAGCAGAAGGCTGGCGGTTCAAACCCACCAGCCACTCCTCGGA